GGCGTGAGTAAATTTTTAGCCCAATTTATCTATTTAAACAGAAGTAATTGAAAAAACCAAAGCGCTAGTATGTAATGCGTTGCGTTCAAACACGTAATCTTGGAAACTTCGAGCGTCCTTGGTTTTTTTGTTCTAACTTTTGTTTAAATAAAAGAGTCGGGCTAAAAAATGGTATAAAAAAAATTTTATAAAGATTGGACAATTTTTTCACGAAAAACGGCCAATTAAACATTACCTTAGCGCAATTTCTTTTCGTGCTCACTGGCGTTGTCAAAGCTGAACTCCGTGCACGCACAGGAGAAACCTGTGAATTCAGCACAAATTTCCATTGAGCTCGTGTGCACAGCGCCACAGTACATCTTGGTCTTTCCGCGTAGGGTCTAACATAATTTTAAATAAAATACAAACGTAATTTTCAGTTTTTTTAGTATATATCACGCTACCTGAGGTTTTGAGGGGTAAAGTTTTTTTTTTTAAATCAAGTTTTTTTCAAGGGCTACAACTTGGTATATTTTTCAAAATTTTTGGCGCGAAATTCAAACCTGTATATCAATTTAAAATTCAGGGTATAGGTAGGGCCCTAGGACCCTACCAATTTACCCAAAGATATATTTTTACATGTACTACATGTAGGTATTTTTTTTATTTCAATTTGGTTGAGGGCAATTTTGACCATCTTACCCGGCTAGGCCCTTTAAAAAATTAATTAATCTCAAAATATCCAATTATTTTTCAGTAGAGTATATTTATATACATTATATAAATTATATCTGTAGGTCCTCAGATAATTTTACTGAGATTACAATTTTCTTTGATCTTTGAATACCCCGTAAATATACTTTTGTTTCTCTACAAATTTTATTTAATTCTACTTTAATCCAACTTCTATCTATAATTTGAATCAAGCTGAATTAATAGTTCCGAATCTTTTCAGATATTCATAATGCAACGCTATGTAGAATTTGATGAATCCTGCGCTATTATAATTTGCTTAATTATAGTTGACATGTAATACCTTGTAATTCATGCCATGTAAACTTAGAAAGACATCAATAAACTCTCGTTACACATATCAGCTATTTTTTAAATGTAAAATAACACTTTCATCGTAACATACAATCACGAGGAAGCAAACGAAAATTGCGTGGCGCAAGTAGAGTTATAAATTACACATCGTCATTGTTTAATTCATGCCTTTTGTAACGATGAGCTCCGATTTACGTCGAGCGAACAGAGATGGCGTTATTCAAATACGAAACTAAGCTCGCTCCATAATATGACCGTGTGGCCTAATGGATAAGGCGTCGGACTTCGGATCCGAAGATTGCAGGTTCGAGTCCTGTCACGGTCGAACGCAACTTTTTTTTTTTTTAATAATTCGTGTTTTGGAAATGTGTCATACGGATGAGCCAAGGGAAGCCTGAAAAGAAAATATACTATATACGCTGACTTTCGAAAGCTAAAATTTAAATCTCCGCGACTGACAACGAATACCGACATTTATTTTATATTCTACGGCTAGCTGGATTATTTTTGTTGTCATTAAATCTGCAAAAGACTTTAATGATATACTTAATACCGTTTTTACTCGTATGCGTTCGATCGCGCTCGAAATCGTCCGCTCGCTTCAAAACTACATGACGCACGCGACCATTGAAAAAACCCCATCATCTTTTTCGAATCGCATATTATACATTTCGTACGAAGCCGATAATGAATTCGTGTTTGCTTCACGCGGTCCACGAAGAATCGGTGTCAAAGGCCGATAGATTACGGCGCGCATGTGCTCGCGCACACACATAAGTAATACGAGAGGCATGTATATCAACGATTCGTACGATTGTGCCGCGCGACTCCGTTCCATATTGTATCATCTCGGATTCACCTATAAGCGGCGCGTGTGCGACACTATCACGACTATGATGATGATGATTCGTTCGTTCTCCTGCACAGATGCACCAGCAGCAGCAGCATCAAAAGTAGAAGCAGTCACAGCGGAGTGACGCGATGCACACAGGATGTAGCCAATTTAGATCAGCTTGTGTGCGCGCGCGTACATTTGGCGGGTACCTAGAGCTCGCTTCGCAAGCATTAGTGCTCGTGTGAGTCACTTTCACGCTAGAAAAACGTCGTCGTCGTGCATCTAATAGGAGATATAAGATAGAGCTATGATTTTCATATTTTTTTTTAAGATTCATTTATGACGTACGAAAAATCGAGCTTTAAAAAGCTCACGAGGGAGCTTAATTTTGAAGCTCAGGTATTATTTCGTGATCAAAGCTATACAACGAAAAAAGGATAAAAAAAAAAAAACTCGCGACGCGTTGAAATTCGAACGATAGAAAAAAAAGGTGTACGTCCACGTGCGTCGCGCGGGCTTCTATTATGCGTCGAGACGCGAGCGCAGCAGTTACGAATGGAAAGCTCCTGTGGCCTGCACCCAATGCTGCATACACACACACACATGTGCGTATTGTGCAATTTGTACATACGCACACACGGATAAGCGGAGCGCATTGAACATAGTAGATATGTCCGGCGACTGCGAAGAGATAGAGGCCTGACCTTAGCCTCCAATTCAAGCTGCCACTGTGCTTTGCTGCTGCTGCTGCCGGGTTACATAGAGAGGAGCCGTTTTGTATATAGGTGTGTATATGTACGTGTGTGTCTCTTCTGTATAGACTGCCCGGACGTTGGGTTGTCAAGGCAAGGACGCGACGTGATGTACTCTATAACGCGGCGAGTCCGCCCGCCCGCGCAGTGCGTTTTATTTCTCTTCCAGGCATTTTATATACATTTTATCCCTTCGCGTACGATGAGAAAATTCAAGTAAAAAATTTTTTTTCTTACCGATAACGAGTTAAATCATTGTAATTGTTACATCGAATCGATTCGAAAGAATCGTGTACCTTCCACGCTAGCAAGACTCGTACCGAAAAGCTCTCGAGCTTTTTGCACGGTACGAAATATATAAATTCATTCATTCCTTCCTCGCGCGACGCGCGACGCGGCCCGAGAGTATTAGGGCACTTCCTTTCATTACGTGGTACCCGAGAGAGTCTTGGCGGCAACGTTACGATATATAATGAAAACCGGGTCTAACCGGGTAGAATTCGAATGCGTATACGTGTGTATTGAGTTGGTCTCCTCTGGTCGCTGCGCGCAGAGCCTAGACTGGATATAGCCTAGCTTCAAGCTCTGCGATCACGATACGAAATTGATTCAATTGATTCGTGCAAAAAAAAAAAAAAGAAAAAAAGGAAGAAAGAAAGAACGAAGATGATCGGTGCGCAAATGATAGAAAAATTGCCGAGCGATTTCGCTCGTATACGATGCGTAATCGTATATGTACGCCTCGACGACGATGAACTAGGACGTGCATTACAAGAGATAGAAACTTATTTTAAGTTTATTTTTATTCCTCTCGATTTTGACTTTGAGTTTTCTGTTTTTTTTTTTTTTTATTTTTATTTCGATAGTCGAACGAACGAATAAAATCATGCAAGAATCATATTACCCGCATCGACGCTTATAGTATTTAGTAGTAGTGCAGTATCCGATTAAACAATGGCACACCTGTCAGCGCGACTGTCCCCCTTCTCCTACTCCTTTTTTTTTTTAACGTACGCGTCGGCAACGAACACGAATCGTTACGGTGGACAATTGATATTATATTGCAGCGGCAGACCCAAACACACAAACACACGCGCTTACACGCATACAAGAGCAGACATCTGCGCCTCCACTTTAGATGACGTCACGATTGGTTTCTATTTATACATTTTATGCACGTTTGTGGTTTGAGTTATGTATACAGTTTCGATGGTTTCTCGTCAAAAATCATATAAGAGATCAAGAACGATGTGAAAAGAGAGAGAGAGAAACGACGACGATGACAATGATAATGATAATAATAATAAAAAGAAGCTGTGCAGAGTCGCGCGCGCGCGTGGGTCTTTTTGTTTCCGAATTATATATACGAGGCACGCGTTGCGCAATAGATAGAGGCGATCTATACATCTTGTCGCTGGGTCTCTCCCTCGTAAAAATAGACGTCGGGAATATAAGTCACGTTTGGAAATCCATGGGGGTTTTATATGTAGGTACACACACACGGCAATCCGATCATTTACACGCTGGGAGAATATTTCAGTTCGATATCTCAGTTTTCTCTCTAACAAATCGATCTTCGGGAGAAAAAAAAGTGCCCAAACGTTCTTCAACGATACCGATTTAAATCTAGCGCGCGTGCATGGAGTATATGGCACACGTAACAGATCCGAGTGCAGCAGCAGCAGCGATGCACGCCGATTTCAAATAAGCCGGTATTTCCCGCTTACAGCCGCCGATTTCATTCACTGCTACTCGCAGCGTCGTCGGTTGTGTGTGTGTATAGAAACAAGATGCATTATAAACGGCACACAGCGCGCGAGTATAGCCACTGGCGAATTAAATACTTTTCCATAGCGCCAAAAATGCGAGAGAATTATATTTTCGATAAATCCATACTCTATACGGCTCAAGGACGGCCGCCTAGAAAATATACATAAATATATGTTACAAGTGTAATCGTGTGAATGATAGAAAGCAGAAGCTGCGTGGCCGAATACGTAGTAGTAAGCCAATGCCAATATATAGACACATCTCTCGCTCGCGTGAGATGAAACGAGAGAAAGAAGTGTATAGAAGGAGGATAGATCGGAAGAGAAAGAGAGGAGGGATGGGGGATATATATGTACATTATATATAAGTAAAGGCAAAAGCCAACACACAACTATACACAACTTGACTTATGTGTGTCTGTGTGGCTCGAAAACGCAGTATACCGTACAGTAGTATAGAGGCGATACGAGCTCCGCAAACTTGTGTGCGTGTGTGCGTCGAAGAGAGACGACGGACATTCTCGGGGCTTGGTTGTATTAATGCGTGTGTGTGCCAGTGTGTTAGTACGCGTCAGGCAAAGTAAAGCCGAGAAAGAGAGGAAAAAGAGTAGGGAACCGAGTAGTGCGTTGAAGCAGCGGCGGCCCCGTCGTCGTGCAGGCGGCCGGACTCGTACGCTGCTCGCTGCTCTCTCTGACTCAGTTTAACCTGGCGCGGCGTTGGTGCCGTATATATCACACACGAACGCGACGCGGCAGCAGCGACCGATACGGCACGCGCATCAGGCCAAAAAAAAAAAGATATTATTAAGATTTTTCTTACGCGGCTAAAAATATAATAATATAATAATAATAAATCGGAGACCGAAGCAGCAGCAGAGGCAAGAAGAGCCAGAAGAATCGGAGAGAAAATCGGGGGGACGATCGGCCGTGCCCTAAAAGACCGTCTTCTCTCTCTTTCTCAAAGTGTGTATATAATAATATCGTCTAGTTTGTGATATTCGCGCACGATATTATTATTATTTGTAATTTTTGAACGTGTGCGCACTCGTAGCGGTACGAAACAAGTGTGTCTCTCTTTGTAAAGACAACAACAACAAAAAAAGGAAACAAAAATGGTGAACACGAAAGAAGCGGCGGCCACGGCGAAAAATCAGCATCATCATCATGCCCACTCGAATCCGTACGAGCGGCCGCCGAGCATGTCGTTCGGCCAGCAGTTCAAAAAATTCCTCTACAATCCGGAGACCGGCGCGGTCTTCGGCAGGACCGCCAGCAGTTGGGGTATGCATTCCCTTCCTTTTTTTTTTAATTTTTCAGTTCTTCGAGGATCGCTGTACGGTTTGTCGAAGATGAGAAATTTTACGAGTGAATGAGTACGACGGTGGTAACCACGTATATAAATGTGACGTGTGCGTGAAGCAACCCGCCGCCGATCCCTCACGTGTGCGTATATTTATGAAGTGTAACAACACGCATACCCCCTCGGTTTCGTGCGCCATCGATCGATGGATCGTCGTGAAACGTGTGCAGCGGAATCGTTGCCTCCACCCACTCGACATATCGCTGACGACAGTAACAGGAAAAAAAAAAATCAAAACAAAAAAAATAATATCGAACAAAAACCAGAGAGACAGAGAAGGGCGCTGGCCTCTCTCTCTGTACAATATGTATAAACGGCGCATACTTTGCTCATGATGTTGACGACGAGTCACACACACGGCTCTACTCGTGGTGCATCATTATTTCTTATGCAGCTCACACATCGACGCGTAAGACGCGCGCACGCCTGTATGTATATATTTTTTTGTTATATATAGAGTCGGGCGAGAAGCGTTCGAACGCGCCAATTTTATATACGATACACATACTCCTCTGCTCGCGCTCTATTTTTTGTGCGAGGCGGCTTGCGAAAACTATCTTTCGGCGGTGTGTATAGAGCGAGAGCCGATGGGCGCGGCGGCGGTGGCAGCGCGGCAACTGCCTGTGGCTTGGCTTCGTTATTATACACACACACTCACAGACAAAGACACATGTACACGGTCGCCGCGAAACGCCAACAGTAAGCGAGAGAGAGAAAGAGTATAGTACCTGCTGCTGCTGCTGCTACTCCTTTTTTTTATGTCGTACGTATATACACTCGTGGACATTATCGTCATTGCGTTGCGCCGAATCGCGACACGAGAATTGCTCGGAAAAATCGGTAACTCATATAATATACGAGAAAACGAAATCGTTCCTTTTTTTTTGCGTGCATGATCGCGAGAGGCTCATTACGTAGCGACGATTACTCGTCGATCGTCGTGCGTCGGTCGCAGGAATGTATCGCGATGTCTGCTGTATCGTAAATACGTGTGTGTGTATAGTGTAGCATAAACATCGAACTGAATAAAAGCCTCGCGTCGGCGCGATCTCCACGCGCGATCGGCATTTTCTGCTCCTTTTCTTTTCTTTTATTTTGAAATGAAAAAAATATACTCGCGTCTCGTCGCTTTTGTGTCTTATTTTACAACAATTTATTATCGGTCATTACGGCGAATCGCGGACCATAACCTCGTGGAAGGATACGACGGATACGCGACGTTATATTACGTATTTCTTACTCTATCCTTAACCGTTGACTGTAATGACGTACGATTTTTTTCTTCTCTCTCTCTCTCTTTTTTTGCCCGTAAATAATAATCTATATAAAATGTAATTGCTGCCACCAGCATCGCCTTGACACAGCCGAGCGCGCTCGGCACCGAAGAGTTTCGCGTTGCAGCATTATAAGTAGCAACAGCAGCTACATAGCAAAGCCACAGAGTCGATGCGGCATGGAATCGTTTTATAATCAAATCGAAGGTTCGTTTTCCTTCTTTTATTCCTGATACGGATAAATCATTGACACCTGTACATCGATCGGATGAAAAAATCTCGGCTGGTTTCTCTCTGGTCTCTCGCTTTCACTGTCAAATAGTCTCTATGCGCATATTAATGAGTAAACATACGATCGCTAGGTATACGCAAGAGGACACTCCATTCCGGCGAACGATTATGCCGTTAGGTTAGGGCCTCGTGTACACTGTATATATAAATACGTGCAACATATATAAGCGAGCTCGAGAAAGAAGGAGACAGAGAAATGTTTATACCAGGGCCGTATTGTATCATGGGAATGCAATATGTACACACGCGCGCGAGCACACCATGCAGCACCGCAGCTGCAGCTGCTACTCGTGGATATTATGATACACGCATGGGCAAGGTGTGCATTATGTATATAGTTTCGTCAATAATAGCCACGAGAAGAAAATCCATCAAACTCGGGTTGGCGAGCGTAAACAAGCGTTACGTATTTTTAATATATATAATTTTAACGCTGTTTGAACGCACACACGCACACATATACACACACGAGAGTGCCCAAAGCTGCTGATAAAAATAAACGTCGCGCGACGCGCTAGACAAGGTGCACATATAAATATGACTTTGACTGCGGCGCGCGCGCATAAAGCTGCTGCAACGCCTGCTGCCTGCTGCGTTTCAACCGATTAGATCGGTGGGTTAAAATACATCGGGCGTGTAACGTACATAAAGATGCGAATAATAAAATTTGATTTATTTATTTATTTATCTTTTTTTTTCACGTAAAAACGCTATCCGCTTATTAATGACGTTTTCAGCGGCGTGAAAGAGAGCACAGGTTTTTGTTCGCAAGCACGCACTAAGTTGATGATGATGATGATGATGATCAGGCCTTGAACGACCACCGAGAGAGAGAGAGATTTCCCTAAAACTTACGCAAATGCGGTGAGCGCGCGCGTGTATTGGTGCATCTATTTCGAGCTGATCTATATAAGCGATGAAAATATTTTTGGAATCCATTCGAGACTACCGACACCGACCGCGTGTGTGCGTGCGTGTGCGAGTGTGTGTGTATTCGATGATAAAATCTTCATCGGAAGTCGCAGTTATATCCGTCGGATTTTCGTAGCTTCTTTATTTTCTTTTTTATCTCTCGTTCTCTATTTTTCGTTTCATTTGTGTGTGTATGAGTACTCAGCTACTGTATTGTAATTGTAATCTCTCGATTATCGAGAGCGGACGCTCCGGCGATACATAATCTTTGTCATCGACGATCATCGTTTCGACAAATTGTTTTATTTATTTTTCTTCAATCAGTACTAATCAGACGTACACGAGTGACATAACGAGCTCTCGCGATAAGACGCGCTCTATACACCTCGTTACCTATGTGCCGCGATCAGCCGATGCGATTGATTTTTCTCTCTCTCTCGTATTAACGCACGATTAAAATCGATATCAATGCGCCGTCGAGTTCACCGAAAACATAATATCGTGTACGTGTGTGCAGTAGCCACAATATACGATCTCGTTTGTGTTGTACACACAGCTGCTATGGAGCGACAATATATATATGGAGCACACACACAAACACGTAATATTACAGCACAGTGGGCAAATCGAGTGATTCACGCGGTTGTGGCGGTGGCCACTGCTGTTTTAATTCGTATCGTGTGTTCGAGAGAGGATTATTGTATTATATTCATAATTGTGCAACGAATCAACGGCAGAGCTTGTACGAATTTTTTCTTTTCCGCCCATCGTAGCGAATTTTTAAAATACGATGAATGATGATTTGTATGAAATAAAAAAGTAAATAAAATAAAAGAACCCCGACAGTTTGCACAAACTTATAACGCAGCCGAGATATTGAAATGGAAAATGACCCCGTGCGTGGATGGTAAATTACGCATTATCGATCGGAAACGTGGTCACTGCTATACGATATATACAATATATATATATATATATATAGGCCCAACCTTAAATTAGAAGGAAAATAAAATGTTTGAATCGAGCAAATGTTTGAAGAAGGTCTCTCGTATACATCACGGTACCCACGTGTGCGCATGTGTGTACAGAATCGAAGTGGTTTTTATCGAGGGTGTGGACAGGCCATCGACGTTGCGCCTATACATATAACTATCGCGAGATATTTTGAGAAATAAAAAAAATGCATCGGAAGTATTTTTCGCGATAAAATTCAACAACGGAAAATTCGTACAACAGCGACGAGAGATGCGAGATAGACGACAGTCAGTCCAGTCGGGCAGCAGTTGGAGACAATTTTCCTTCAATCGAAAGGCCAATCTAGTATAAACCTGACTCTCTGGGTTGCACCGCCGTGTGTGCAATTTTACGCTCTCGCAGCAGCAGCGCAGACGCTATATAGAAGAGAGACCCTCGGTACACGTTACGGTATAAAATTCATCCGCGCGAGAACACAGATGCAGTTGCACAGACGCACACAGACACACACGTGTGCGCGCGCGCGCGATAAACTCTGATAAGATAATTGAGAAAATCGTCCTAAATCGTAATTAAGCTCTGCTGTCTGTCCTGTGTGTGTGTGATCCGGCGAGCTGGTCACAGTTTGACGTCATAGTAGCGCGCGGGTAAATTTGACGAATGCGATATGTCATGCTGCGAAAGAGAGAAACGGACGAGCTTTTCAATCGGGAATTTTTCAAGTTCTTCGCTCGCGTGCCGATGATGATGTTATTAAATGCACACGTGCGTTACACACGATTGGGTGCGGACGCACGTAATTTTTCTTTCTTCTCTTCGTTTTTCATTTTCATTTTTGTTTTTCATCAAAAGCGACGATCCTTTGTTCGAATAGCAGAGAAAGAAAATCGATCGATGTAATTACGAGGATAAATCGAAATACGAGATGAAAAAAAAAACGAGTTATTGAATTATGATAATGAATGTTTACATTTTAATATATTTACAAATTAGTGAGAAAATTCAGAGTACACAGCTGATCATCAAGTTCAATCAAACAATCGGGACAAACATCGAAACAAATTAAAATTGAATAATCTTAAACTCTATCGAGTACCGATTTCGATCGAATCAAAGCTCGAGATTTTACGAAGCAAAAGATCGTCATAAAATTTCTGCGTAAGCGCGCGTGTCGCTCATTCATCTCGTATACATGCAAATCCTCGGCACCGAATCCATCGCTTCATAAAAGCGCGAATAAACGCATATAAGGCGGAAGTACATGTGTGGCGGCGGCGGCGAGTGCAGAGAAGCGACAGAGACAGAGAGAAGAAACGGCGCGCTGAATGGCAATTGTTGAACGCGGCTTCCCTTCCAGCTTCCCACACAAATATACGAAATATACTATTATGTACATATATAGCGTCGCGACGGTGAGCGCGCGACGGACGAGAGATGGAAGCAACGAGGTCAATTGACATTAAACGCCCTGGCTGGTACGAAATCGCGATGTTTTAAAAAGCTCGTCGTCGTCGTCGTCGTCGTTGGCCATTTACTCGCTGGGCGCTTCGCGCGATTACGTAAAGGGGCCTTTTAGGATATATAACATATACATATACGAGCGTAAACACACGGGAGGACGAGATAGAGAGAATTGAATGAAATAAAATGAAAAAAAAATCGGTTGCGCACCCAAACTGTACGTACTCGTGTGTGTGTGTGTGTGTGTGCGATATCCGCAAGTAAATGCAGCGCACGCGGTCGCGAGCCGTGTTATTTTAGACGGATCTGGCCGTTTGACAATTTTCATTATATTATGTTTTAAACTTCGCGAGTGCAGGAATACGCGCCGCTAGCCACAACATCATAATGTTACCGAGGCGTCGAGATCGCGAATGCGATGAAAAAAATTAAAATAAAAATTATACTCCCTATTCGTCGGAATTTATTTATGCGCGAAAAATCTAAATATTCCGGTAGAATAATGCTCGAGCATTGATTACATACTTATTGCCGTATAAGTAGCGGTTTTAATTTATACTAATATCAAGCGGACGAATGAAAATTTAATTGTTTCACGAAAAATTCAGACCAGTTCGAAGTACGAAAATGTCACTTCGAGGCCTCTACCGCTAGGTGGCGAGTACCTTCCATCTGTAAAGCTGCAAGTGGCAAAGTCGAAATAAGCGTATAAGTCCGAGCTGCAATGCAATGCTCTTCTGTAACCAAAAGCCTCGAGTACTGAATCACGTTAGTTTTAATCTCGCCTTCTCTCGATGAGAGAAAAAAAACCCCATATACAATTCGCTCGATGCAGCGTGGCACGCGGTCGCGCGAATTGAGTCGTTATATTCCGCGCGGCACGCTCAATTACGGGCTGATTTAATTCGAAGGCGCGCGCGACCGCGTGAATAATCGCGCGCATTATTTAGACAAACGCGCATATAGCAGCAATCCAATACGGTATAACGATAATAACGATAACGATCGTATATAACGAAACGTACAAAGGGTCGGATACTATAGTACGATGGAAAGACGAGAGCGACAGACGCGCGTTTATATTTTATATGTTACAAACGACGACGACGACCTCGCTCGCGGATAGCGGCGACGCGAATTAAATCAGAAGAACAAATTGAATTGCTCCACTTGACTCGATCCTTTTGATCTTCACTGATTTCGAGTTTTATCTTACGCTATGCTATATGGGCAATGTATAAATCAAACGTGTATGAATGCAAAGTATACATTGGCGAGCGCGTGTAAATATAAACACACACGACGATGCAAAGCAATCGAATTTAATCGTTTGGCGTTTTATATCGTCGTTGCAGGAAAAATCGGCCTCTTTTATCTGGTGTTCTACGGCGTGCTGGCGGCCCTCGTGGCCATCTGCTTCTGGGGCTTCTTCCAGACGATCGACCCGAGACGGCCCACCTGGCAGCTCGAGCGCTCCATCATCGGTACCAATCCTGGTGAGTCAAGTTTTTTTTACAATGATACACTATAATCCACGTACGATGGACGTCGTGTATAAGAGAGACAGAGACGACGACGGACGAAAAAAGGTCGCGACTAAAGTGCCTCTTTTATATTCGCCTATGCGCGCGAGTCTAGGTCTAGGATTCAGGCCACTGCCACCGGCGGAAAATGTCGAGAGCACGCTGATTTGGTACAAAGGCACCGATCGAGGGAATTACAAGCACTGGGTCGACTCGTTGGAATCTTTCCTCAGAGGTATTTTATCATCATTATCTTTCACTTTATTAATTCATTGTATTACTATTATCACTATCCTTTTTTTGTTGTGTATGTAAAGATTACAGAACACCCGGTGCGACGCCCGGACGCGGCGCCAACATCGCCAACTGCGACTACGATCGTCCGCCGGGTCCCGGCCAGGTCTGCGCCGTCGACGTGAAGAACTGGGTGCCCTGCACCGTCGAGAACTTCTACGGCTATCACAAGTCCTCGCCCTGCATATTCCTCAAGCTCAACAAGGTAAAAAAAAAAAGCTCGAGCTTTTGTTTATTTTTTGCAAAATTACAACGAACTCACGCCTGTCCTTTTTTTTTTTTTTTTTTTTCACGCAGATATTCGGCTGGAGGCCGGAATTCTACAACGACACGAACGCCCTGCCGGAGAAGATGCCCCGTAGCCTGAAGAAGCACATCAAGGAGATCACGAATCGCAACGAGCTGAACACGATCTGGGTGTCGTGCGAGGGCGAGTACCCCGCCGACCAGGAGAACATCGGCCCCGTGACGATACTGCCCAGGCACGGCTTTCCCGGCTACTATTATCCCTACGAGAACTCCGAGGGTTATCTCAGTCCCCTCGTCGCGGTGCACTTCGAGAGGCCGCGAAGTGAGTGGAAAACAATTTTTTTATAAATATATATCCAAATATCGGACGAATACTATAAAGGTTCCGTTTTTTGTAGCTGGTATTCTCATCAACATCGAGTGCAAGGCTTGGGCGAAGAACATCAAGCACGACAGAACCGACAAGATCGGCTCGGTGCACTTCGAGCTCATGGTCGATTAAACGAACGAAAAAAAAAAAGTAAAAATCACGAAGACAACAACGACAGCAAAAGCTCAAGACAAATAGCCGGAGGATCTCTGGTTTATCTTCGAACGATTTCGTTATCTATCCCCTCTCGTTCAACGGAAAATGCGTGCCTAATACGAACGACGATCGATTGTCCAAAAAAACAAAAAAAAAAACAAACAAACAAATTCAATTATATTTCGTCCATCCTAATTTAACAAGCGAGCGCACAAACAAAACACGCACACGTTCGTGCATACAAGTGCTGAAATGTCAATTGTAAAAAGTATAGTAGATTTGTAAGTCGCAAAGATCGTGTCTATTTTTTTTTTTTTTTTTGTGTCCATGGCTCGATTTTGTGATCTCTTTAAAAGAAAAAACACACGCTTTGGAAATAACACAACAATAAAAAGAAATCATGTATTTTGTGTGTGTTGATTATATTATTTATATAAATATAGTTGTATCTATATATGTTTGAATTTGTTTTTCTCCTTTGGTTATTACTATTATTATTATTATTACTATTATTATTATTATAATTATTACTATTATTATTGTAATGCGAGCCTCGTTTATATAAATAAATAAAAAAAAAGAAGAAAATAATTTATTTACACGTATTACATAATGAAATATACTTTGTAAGCGACGGCAAAGAATCATCATTTGCGAAGGGAGCGTTTGTAAATTGATTTTTTGCGCGCATAAGTAGATGAAAAAGTATTTCGCGCAATTTAAGAAAATATAAATATTATTTAGTAATTTTACTAGTAGAAGCACTGTTGTAACTATATATATGAAATAATATATAGGGCTTTCTAATGTTTTTTTTTTTTTTTAATTTATGTATATTTAATTTCGACTTTTGTGCTTCTGTGCGACAGAATTTTAAATCTGAGACAGGAGCTGTACTCTCGAATCGATTTCACAGTACTTTCTTATTTCTTTAATGTTAAAGTTTGAATTGCGTTGTCAAAAATTACTGAAGAAACTGCCTGAATATCTTGCAACTTTTATAATGAAATGAAATGATAATCTATATATTATACCTTCATGGTTTGAGTTTGACTACTTCTTTCAAAATTCATCAAGTGATTATAATATAACTTTGAAAAAAATTTAATTGACTTATTCTTCATTTATAAATCAACAACTACTATTTGTAATTGCTATACAATCTCAAATATGTGATGAAATACAAACTAGTTCTTTTGAATCAGAACTAGAACAAATTGTAACTTTCAATAAAAGAATTACTATTTATTCTAAATCATAATGCCACTCCATATTTGATGAAACCTATAGAAACGCTACAGTCAAAATTTACACCTTATAAAAATATCTTGACGTTATTAACTTTATAAAAGAGCAGTATTTTATATAAACTATAATTTTTGTTAAACAAATAATAGCTGCTTCCAAATGTCACAAATTATATTATACAATGTTGCTATAAGATGTTGTGAAGTAAGTTTAAACGGCATGTAAAGCTGGAAAATATTGAATGAAAATCTCTATATATTTTTTAGTCTCTCTTACAAAAGGAAAAAACATGTAAGCATTTGAATTGAAATAAAACATTTTTGTCGTACATAGGATCAATGAATTATTTGTATCTGTCATTCGAAATAACCAAAAAAGTCTGTACAATCCTTAACTATTATTATTTATTAACCAATTTGTTACATTAAATTAAACAATTATAAAGTTATGAAATTTATATCTCATTGTTTAAAGTCTACTCACAGTATAGGCTATGTAGAAATACCGTTTCAGCAAGCACAACAAATCATTCTACGGTTGAATCATTGTTTTTTACACCAAAGACACAAACACTGTACACCATGCACTTCTCACATCATTAATTTTTCAATAAAACACAAGCAAAAAACGTGATTACACAGGAATACGAGGCGGTTCACAGGACGCTTTGAGACGCGATATTGCAATATTTCTCGACGTTGAGTCACGAATCGAATGCATTCGTATTTCGCAGTAATTCATCGAAGTGGGAGGCAGCGACATCTGATTGGTTCCACTGCGCAGGTATACAACGAAGCAGAAGGCAACGTGCTCGCGGCTACATTACTTAGTCAGTGCAAGTGGAGTGGCCCGGGGTTGTCGGGAAATATATAACCAAAGTGAAAACACAAGATTTAAAGTTTATACTGTGAATTTAATTATTTAATTGTTTTTTACTTGTTTGAAACTTAATTCGAAGTCAAGATCGTCAAAATGGGAAAGAAAAAGAAGGGTATGTGACAAAACGTTCTTTTTATTGAGCAATATTGAGAAAATAGTAATTGACATGTGTTTATTTTTGACATTCCTTAGAATTCAAAGAGAGCAAGGAGGAACGTATGATGATGACAATTACAGAGATCATTCAAGAATTGTTGGTTGCACACGATGAGGGAAGAACTGTTGACTTGAATAAACTGAAAACACAAATTTCATCCAAGTACGGCCTATCGTCTTCTCCAAAACTTACAGATATAATTGCTGCCGTTCCATTCGATGTTAAACATATTCTTTTACCTAAGCTCAAAGCTAAACCTGTTAGGACTGCTAGTGGTGTATGTTAAACCTTTCATTATTATGTTAAATTAATTAAATGATGGTTAAATTTTAATGAAAAATCTTATTTTTTAGATTGCTGTTGTTGCTGTTATGTGTAAACCACACAGATGTCCGCACATCAACATGACAGGAAATATTTGTGTGTATTGTCCAGGTGGACCAGATTCAGATTTTGAATATTCAACACAATCTTACACAGGATATGAACCAACGTCTATGAGAGCTATAAGAGCTCGATATGATCCATTTTTACAAACAAGGCACAGAGTTGAACAAGTAAGATCATATTTTAACATGCCAATCTCATTAAATAAATTATTTAATTTATAAATTTAATTAATTCTTTACTTACAGTTGAAACAATTGGGCCACAGCGTTGATAAAGTAGAATTTATTGTTATGGGAGGAACATTTATGTCTTTACCAGATGATTATAGAGACTATTTTATTAGAAATTTACATGATGCACTATCAGGTCATAAAAGTAACAATGTAGCTGAAGCAGTTTTACATTCAGAGTACAGTAGAACCAAATGTATTGGAATAACTATTGAAACTCGACCAGATTATTGTCTTAGAAAGCATCTTTCTGATATGTTACTTTATGGGTTAGTATAATATTACAAATTATTATACTTTTATGATTATTTTTATTTCATTTTTAACTTGATCATTTCAATAAAATTATAGATGCACTCGTCTTGAGATTGGAGTTCAGTCTGTTTATGAAGATGTTGCTCGAGACACTAACAGAGGTCATACAGTTCGAGCAGTCTGTGAGAGTTTCCAAATGTCCAAAGATGCTGGATTCAAAGTTATAGCACACATGATGCCTGATTTACCAAATGTTGGCATCGAAAGAGATATTGAACAATTCAAAGTAAGTTTTTACTAGTTACATTTTTTCAAATATGCACAATAATGGTTCAGAGTTTGAGAAAATTTTTTTTTTCATTTTTCAGGAATTTTTCGAAAATCCAGCTTTCAGAGCTGATGGTCTAAAGATTTATCCTACTTTAGTTATCAGAGGTACAGGTTTATACGAGCTGTGGAAGACTGGAAGATACAAGAGTTATCCCCCAAGCATGTTGATTGATCTCATTGCTAGAGTTTTAGCTTTAATTCCACCATGGACTCGCGTGTACAGGGTACAAAGAGATATTCCTATGCCATTAGTAAGGTAGGTGCTTCAAAAATAAAAGTCAGTCATTATTACATTACGAGAAAGTAAAAAATGAATCGTTCCATTGCAGTTCTGGCGTCGAGCACGGAAATCTTCGTGAATTGGCATTGGAGAGAATGAAAGAATTAGGAGTCACTTGCCGCGACGTAAGAACCAGAGAAGTAGGAATTCAAGAAATTCACAACAAAGTTCAACCGTACGAGGTAGAACTGATACGTCGTGACTACGTCGCCAACAACGGATGGGAAACATTTTTGTCTTACGAAGATCCTCTACAAGATATTCTTGTGGGTTTGCTCAGACTCAGAAAGTGTTCTCCGGAAACGTTTAGGTACGAATTTTTTTCTTTTGAATTACACTCAATTTGACCAAATGGACTGAATTGATTGTGCCTTTCCGTTTCTATTGCAGGCCCGAGCTGCAAGGAAAATGTTCAATTGTACGAGAGCTGCACGTGTACGGTAGCGTGGTGCCGGTAAACGCTCGCGATCCGACGAAATTCCAGCATCAAGGTTTTGGTATGCTTTTGATGGAAGAGGCCGCGAGAATTGCCAAAGAAGAGCACGGATCCACGAAAATTGCTGTTATTTCGGGTATGAATTACCTTATTACTATTTTTTATCAATATCTTTTTGCCTATAAATCATAGATTTACAACGTTATAAATTTTTACAGGTGTCGGCACGAGAGAATATTATAGAAAGATGGGATATGAATTAGATGGTCCATATATGTCAAAACTTCTTTAATAAATTAATTTTTTTTTTTTTTACAAATCAATATTGCTCACAAAATTGCTTTGCCTGATCCATAAACAAGATAAACGGTAGCTCCGATAATTTCTACAATGAAAATGTAAATAAAGACCACAGACCAGCTGTGTGTATGCTGTAAAATGAGGCCAGCTAAGTACACTCCCAGAAATCCTGTGAAAAAAATTGTTGCATGTAACGTGATGTTTTGTATAATTATTTACTAGAGATAAAAGAAAAATGAAATTTTACCAGGAATAGCTCCAATCGTATTCATGATTCCAAAAACACTTCCAGAATGTTTAGGCGCTAAATCCGAAGGGTTCACGATAATTGCACTATTATGAAAGCCGGAACCGGCTATTATTAAAGTTAAATACAAAATGGCTTTTTCAGGGGCGTCTGTCACAGCTGTAAGAACAGTTTCATGATAATGCCAATCAGTCTCGGTAATCATCGCAATCAATGCGTCTACTTGCCTAAAAACAGTAAATTAACGGCTTGAAGAGTGAAACAAGTTGTTTGAATAATTTTACGCGTCGCCGTGACGGAATATCCAGTCTTGATGAGTTTGTCGGATATAACTCGACCGATGAAGATGGATGGCAATGACGCCAGCCATGGTACCATATTGACTATCCAGCTCTAAATTAAATTATGATATTTTAAAAATTTGAATGACTTTCGTAAATTTGAATTAAAATTTTTTAAAAATATTATTACTTTAACTTCTGGAAAAGTATCGTGAAAGTATGTAGGCATCCAAGATAGTAGAACAAAAAAACAATTATTTTGGCAAGCATGTCCAATCAAACATGCCCTGAAATGAGAAAAAATATAGTTATAAAATGGAAACATTACATTTAACTTTTAAAATCTTTCTCTTTTTTTTGACAAGGTGCAATCTACTTTTGTGAAATTTCAAATGTAAGAGTGCCAGTGCAGTTATGAAATATGTACCAGGATTACCAGAAAGGTGGTTTAGTAATTAATTCTCTAATAGGCAGTCTGTTGCTTGAAGTATGTTTTACTGTGGATGATCTTCCATTCAATAATGTTGAATAATAGAATACCAAAATGGTCCAGGCAACACTTACAAGTCCTAATATGAGAAATGGAATTGTGCAAACACCGAATCAAAAATAATAATATGAAATAGTTCAATAATCAGGTAGTAGTTAAGTGAATAGTTACCAAAAACTCTGAGGACAGTATGCCACGTATAATTTTCTAAAACATAAGATCCTAATGTTCCAGTCAATACGGTCCCTACAGCGGAACCAGAGGTAACTAGGCTAAAGAAAGAAGCCCTTTCGGACTCTATCAATCGTTGACTCGTCAAACTTATCATACTAGGAAAGTGAACTCCTGTTAACAAACAACCATACGATTAAAGCAAATTCGGTCTTTGTCCATATTAATCACCGACAAACCTTGAAACGCTCCATTAATCATTCTAGCCAGGACTATGAACTGTATGGAGTAGTAATCCGAAAAATTGTCGATGATCTCCGGCAAGAACAGGGTCGACAGACCCCATCCGATGGCGGCCACCGTCAGTATTCTCTGGCCGCCCAGACGGTCGCTCAGGTAGCCGCCCAGCACCTGGGTCAGCGTGTAGCCCCAGAAGAAGCTCGACAGTATCATGCCCGAGTCGGTCTTGCTCCATCCTCGCTCCTTGCCAATCACGGGCACCAGCAGCGGAACAGATGTTCTCGACGCGTACACCAGACTCGTGCCGCTAAGTAATATTAGGCCCCATTTGAAGCGTTCTTTTCTAAAAAAAAAAACACGATATAAATAATTCAAAACGAGTTGGACACTCCACACCGGGTTCGATTTTCAAGCGGCACCCTTACCTCGTCCAGTGATAATTGAAGTGTATATTGTCATACGTCAGCATCACATTCGTAAAGTGAAAATTTCCCGCTGGTTCATTGATTGTTCATCGGCATAATATATGCAACGCCACGTCTAAATGTTGCTAAGATAGCGTTTACAAACACACAGCTGACGATATATGTATACCTGCAGTCGTCGGCACTATAATGCACTTATAGCCGATGCTCTATAAGCCACAGCAGCGGCGGGCAGCTGCTGCGATCGAGCTTCAAATTTTTCACCCGCGACGCTCCGTTGACAAAGTAATTATTGACAAGTCGTTATATCTCCTTAGACAGGTGTGTAACGTATGTGTGTGTGTGTGTGTGTAATGTACACAGTAGCCGGAGTAAACGCATAAACGAGACAGCAACTGCTGGTGGCGGCCGCGTACACACACACGTCACAGGCAGACAGCACAGATTTCTATGTAGACTCTGCGATGTATCAGTCAGACGGTCGGCGATTTCTGCTCGCGAAATTATGAATTTTAACACTACCGTATCGGCGGTCGATACGGCAGTCGGCCATTTTTAAATGCCGATATCACGCTAAGCTTTAAATTTTACCTACCCTGCAGCAGTGTGTGCTCAGAGGTGCTGTGCTGTGCGGCGGCTTTCTTCAACTTCATCGTCGTTCATTGTTGTCAGCTGGCCTGCTGCTGTACAGTATCAAAACAATCGAAGCGGCTGCACATATCACTTATCAGTCTCGCGTGGGAGATAAAAAAAGAGAGACAACTTTCGAACGAATTAGCTCGAGGTACACACATTATGGTTTGAAAATGCAGTCACTGCAGGACGTTCTGAGCAACGTTTTATTGTCGAACCCGATCAGCGCGACCACACTGGAATTCGCGAGAAGTGCAGTCAACGGCGTAAGCGCATTATTAAAAATATAAGAGATCCTTTCAACTCTAACCTTCAATGCCATCGATCGACGATGAGATACGATCGATATTTTTATGGTCCATTGAGTGACAATACGAGTCGCGATAGATGATCACTGTTGCACTTGTTTATGTAATGTTTATGTTTATGCGTAGGTGACAGATTACACGGGAATAAAGCCGAAGAAAGGGGGAGTATCCTCGATAATGTCATCGACTCAGGTGCCACTGTGGAAATTGGCCAGGGCGTCCGGTCCCTTCGTCAGGATAGCCGCGATCAGCGGTGCAGCGGCCGTCGTTCTCGGGGCCTATGGTTCTCACAGTACGTTTATATCGTGCTATCAAGATTTGATGCACATTTCCGTTGCATTATTTTGACGATATGATTTTTGTCCTCCTCACAGAGACGTATCCTTCGGACGCCAAGGGATTGGAGCAGAAGCGAGTCTTCGACACGGCGTCGCGATACCATTTGTTCCACACACTTGCGCTACTGGGAGTGCCCATGTGCAGAATGCCTTACCTGGTAAATTGAATCAAATTTTAGTAGAATGTCAACCAGTATTCATCGAATGAAATAAATGACACAACGTTGATTTTTCAGTCGGGCAGCTTCATGATGGCAGGCTTACTCATGTTCTGTGGTACGTGCTACTACTATGCTTTCACTGGAGATAAATCGTACAGTAGATTGACTCCTATTGGAGGTACTTGCTTCATTCTTGGCTGGCTTGGAATGTTAATATGAGGATTATGAACATTGCCACTGTAACGATAGCTTTTATGTCTAACCAATTGACAGGTGCGTGTGATCAAAGAAAACTAACTAAATATCACTTCGATGAAAATTGTACGAACTATACAAATGGAAATCAATGTAAAATATTGTTTTATGAATTAATTATTACAGATTGATATAATAAAAAAATAAGTTTGTGTAAAAATGAGAAATTGAAAATCATTAAACCTTGATCAATAAAATGTATAGTATTGAATGTTTTGAAAAGGTACAATGAGTGAGAAAAAAATATTTTCAGTAAAATAATATTTAATAAAGAAAAGTATTTACACTCTTAAACGAAAAATTAATTTTACTGAAGGTGGAACTCTCAAATTTTCTTATGCGCTGAAGTATGAAAATTTGTTTTTCTTCAAATTTGTTTTTATTACAAGAAACAAAATTGTAACGGAAATCCAAAGAAATAAAAAGAACATCATTTATGCCTTAGAATCGATATAAATATAATCATCGCTTTTAATAATTAAACTGGGTTTTGGACGAATCCATCACCAACACGCACTTAATATATGAATCTGCTACTTCGTCTAGAATTTGTTTTACATACAACTTTACGCTCATTGTTTCTTGCTGATCTCTTTCACTTTTTGTGTACTTGGTTCTTTTCTCTGGGCATTTGCTTTAAAACTTGCAACATTTATCATACTAAAGTGTTGAAAAAATAACTGTATGTTCGTTTTATTATGACTATACAATAACATATTGATTAACATTGCCAGGAGTAATTGAAACTGCAACAGTATCAGATAAAAAAAAAACATACCAAGCACGCCCGGCGCTTCCCACGCTATTTCGCACTCTTCATTATGTTCACGTTGAACTTAAATTTATAGTTTTATTTTAAATTGTCAGAAATTTTAAAGACACAGACTTTACTTATTTAAGCACATATTACATCGTCCATTTGCAAAAAACAAAAAAATATACGTAACTTTAACGTTGAATTATTATGTAAAAAAAATGTTTAAAAACTTTACTGTTCCGTAGTAAACTGATAAACCGTGTGATACTGGTCGCAACTACGACCTGCATATTATGCTCGACTGGTCAAACTACTCAAGAGCTACTTATGAAGTATCAAATAATGATACACAGGAAAAATTAGACTTGTAGAATGACATAACATTTTATTTTGTGCATCGCATATCCGTGGTATAGGTATTCGGTATTCTAACAACGACAACGACGCACACACAAGAGATCGATTACAAAAAAAAAAATATTCAAAAAAGAGAACAACAAATATGAGACTCAATGTTACTCCTATTTATCATATATTATATTTAATGTACGCTTGGATTGGTCGTCCTCTCAAGCCCTTTTTTATTTCGGATTATGTACTAGCTCGATGTAGCACATGACTTAAACTAACGTCTTTTCTTATTTTTTTTTACTCTGCACGGTCTCGCCACGATGAACGCATTATTTTCCAACTTTAAGTCGCTCTAAACGAGGCTAGGAGATGGACGATGATTTATGAAGACGCTAGATGCATCGACGATCATTTTATATATATAAAACTTTTTTTACTTACAGCTAACGAAAGTCCTCTCACAGTATCGTAGCTTACAGTTCAACTAATTTAAATATCATATGTTGAGTGGTACCGTTTTTTGTATTTGTTACTTCGTTTACTATATTATATAAAGTATTTATATAGACTTGTGTATATCAAACTATATAGAGATAATATGCTTCATATGTACAATGTTTTGTTTTCTCTTGCTGCTTCTAACAATTTTAATTTTTAATTGCATCACACAATAATCGCACATCAAGAGAACCAGTAAACTTATCCATGTTTGATTAATCTATACAGCTTTCCTGGCTCACTATTAACACGCCTCTTGTTTCTCAAATCATAGTTTTTGTCTCACTCTATATAGTCGGATAAAATTATTGTATATCACAACTCCAAATTACACATACAAAAATGAACACTAAATTGGAATTCGTAAAATGAAATATTGACAAGAAAGTATTTAAGTTAAGTTATGATGTTAATGTTTTCAAAGGCAAACAAATCTCGTAAATTATTTAAAATATTCACTGTTTTTCGTATGGTCTCTGCTGTTATGGTAAATAATAAAATTCTTTCTAATTGGTTTTTTAAAACACTGTTCAATAAGCAGAGCCAAATATAACGAAAACGGGAATAGTTAACCACTTTGCTTGTCGATTTCTAGGATAGGTGGAAAGAATGCTGGCCTTCCTGTGCAGCTATCCTCAGCTTTTCTCGCATGATTTCTATCGTAGAATAGTCCGGCAGTTTCAAATAGTTGACACAAGTCATCACTGATGGCAAAAATTCGTCTGGTTTCATTGTGGGATCAAACGTTTTACGAACTATCGTTAGAGGAGGCGATAAGCTCTTGAATCCTGAAATAGATAAAACAAAGTTTATAATAATGGATATTTAAATGGAAAATTTAAATGAAAAGTCAGCTAATTTTATAAGTGAAACTTACCACCAACTGGTAACCTAGGAGATCCTGTAACGAACTGTATGAACTGTCTTTGCTCTTCGCTATCGTATTCCGCCATGACTTCGAACAAGAAACGAATTGCTCGTGAATCTGGGGTGTAACCATGATCAGTTCGACAGCATTCTGATAATGTTTTAATGTCCCATTTGCCACCTGACTGTGAATGTCCGCAAAATACAGCTTCAAGTTCTTCAGGGAAGAACAATCTGAGCTGTGAAGGTGGGAAAACAGACTCGAATCCTTCGCGGAACGCTTCAATTTGACGGAACACACCCTCATAAAGGAACCAGTGTACAACAAGCTATAAGATAAAGATAAAATATTTTGTTAGTTTCAACATAAATATTTTCAAAGTTTTTTTTCAATTAATCATAAGTTTAGCTTACTTTGATGTATTGGTCCAGGTTGTGTATATTAACATTCATATCGCCTCCGCTTTTTCTCAATTCGATATTTTCGTAACCAGGTAATTGGAAAGTGAGTCCAAGGTCTGATATAGGACAGCCATCTAAATCTAAGACTTCAATCAATTGAGCTCTTTCTGTAGGTTTCAATGTTGAATCTTGATCAATTTCCTCTTTCCTTTTAACGACTTCTTGTAATTTGCTCAATGAATTGTATACATCTCGATCGATGTGAGCCAGATCTGATAAATTCAATGCATGTTCTTCAGCCAGTAACCATCGGTAGAAAGTTAAACTGAATGGTAGATCCAGCTATACACGAAAAGAGAGAAAATATTTAAATAATCGTTACATTGATAATTGAATGAAAAAAATCAAGTACTTTCATAAAACTTACCATTCGAGAATCGTAAATTGCCTTGGCCATAAATTTACCCAAGAATTTGAATTTAGTTTTTAATTTGGCGAGCTGTGATACTTTCGTGTTCCATGGGATTGGTGCAGGGAACAACCCTTGGTTGATATGTACATAACCTTGTTCTGTTGGATTTAAGCTACCATGCCACAATTCTAAGTCAGCACGCATCAACTCACGTGAAACTAAAGCGTAGAATTCTAAAGTTGGACCAAGACCTGTGCCAACCTTTAAAAAGATAAAATAATATTAATGTTAACATGCAATCGATTTCATTGGTTGAATGGGATAATCATTAATGATGATTCGATTCTTACCTCATTTATATATTGCACTTCCAAAAGAGCCTTACTCGACGCCAGGTCCTGAATAACCTGCTCTGCTTGTTTCAGGATATCTGTTCGAGAAATGGTTCGCTTTCTTCTTTCTAGTCTTGGTGTAACTCGTTCCTGACTGTCAGATCCACTGAGTTCCGGTGCCGAATCAAGAAGTCGCTGCAGTGCACGATCGCGATCGAACGACGTCGCGTAAAACAGCAGTTGCCTCGTCTCAAACGGGAACAAAAATGGACAAACTGAAGCTATTTGTTGCAACCACGACGGCAGATTACCGGTCATGATGACAAGAGGATCTTGTAATTGTCGGCTTGCTTTGGCTGCAATTTTATTGTTGATGAATTCCGGTGTTGTTAACAGACTGATGTTCTTCGCATGCGGGAAAAGTAAGCTCCAATGACGATTTAGGGCATAAAGTAATCGCAGCAAGCAAAGGCCATCGAGAGCGGCATCGCTGATTGTGACTACAGATGGAAGCGTCGGCATTAAGAATGGAGTGAGCGGACATCTTTGTTGTGGAATCGCACCCTCAAGCCACAGGCAGTCTTCTTTGCGCTTCGAACTGATTTTCGTGCTTTTGCCCTTGCCTTTGCGACTACTCGACTGTGAACTTGAGCCTTGTTTTGAACTAGAGGCTGATTCTTCTTCGGGTACAGGTCTGTAATATATCGTGTGAGTCTGCACCCAAACGGCATCATGGCCTAGTGGAGGTTCACTGTCAGCATCTGTTTCTACACTATCCATACCAAAGCAGCTGAATTGTCTTACAGCTTGATAAACCGTCATATTGAATGGTAGCACTTTGTCACCAATCAAAAACTGCAACTTGTGTTTCGCAGAACCTTGACTAATGACTACGGCAGCTAGTGTATCATCAATATCATCTTCGCTGTTATCGTCGTCGCTGACCATCGAATCGGCATCGCGGATTCTTCCATATCCTCGCACCATCAGATAGCGTTCTATCGTTTGTACAAGAGCGAGAGGATCTACTTTTACGGTACCTCCTTTCCATTGTTTCAGATTGTTACAACTTGGGTGACGTTGTAAATTACACTTGAGTTGATGTGTGTTAAAGAATTTGAGAGCACTTGTTCCGCCTCTTCCAACTCCAGAGCCAGCTGGTAAGTCGTGTACTTTAACAGGAAACTGTTCTAATTGCGAGGCACAACTACTAACTTTTGAAACGAGAGCTCCGAAAGCTCCTGGATTATAATCGACGAGATTTTCTGTTTGCATTGTTGATTCAGCAAACAGCTTCCAGAATGTCTTCAATCGTTCTTGGCGGCTTCCGTTACCTTCCATTGTGAGATAATTTAGTAGAGCTTTAATAAGACCACTGTGATTCATTTCAAATGGTGATATATCACTTTCTAAAATGACATCGCGCAATTCAGTTAATGCAGAGTACATTTCATCAGAATCCGGAGACTGGAGCCGCTGAATTGCTGCAGTTAGTCTGGAAAGAACTGTGAGAGCTGGATGAGAACACGGCGTATCCAACTGGTAACGGGTGAGGAATTGTTGAGCCTCTTCTCTGACCCACGCTTTAGCCTTCTCTCGGTTGCCACCAGTAAGATTAGGATTACTAGGTGGCTTGGACAGACTGGCAGATGACGTTGAATCTCGCTTGTCGTTCGAGTTGCTGGGCGAAGATGATTTTTTGCCCCAACGAGCTGGATTCAAATTGCCAAGGAAACGATTGTTTTTGGGCGTGAAACCCGTAAACAATGATTCTTGCTGCGGCGGTGGCGGCTGAACCGAAGAATTGTTACCGAGACGCGAGAGGCGACCCTTCTTGTTTTGGCGTTTCCTCTTCAGTACGTCACCGATCTTCATGTGAGCATTCGGCGGTGTGCTGTTGTCCTCTGGGTTGACGCTGGATTCGGTTCTACTGCGAGTTTCCATGGTAGCAGCGAGATTCGGCTTCATTTGACTCGTAGCGACCGAACCAAACATTATATTACCGTTCGTTGTTGGCGAAGCAACTGGTGATGTGGCACTGCTAGATGACAATGTCATACTGGAAGCTAGAGGAGTATTCGATGGTCCTGGTTGCGGACTTGGTAATGTACCAGAAGAGCACTTGGGTGGCGATACTCCAAGAGGAATATCTGGATCGGTTAACTGACGTACTTGGTGCAGAACTCCCTCCCGATGAAAATGGACTCTAAAAACTTGAGGGAGTCGGGTCATGAGAATGTTTGCCATTTGAAGAGCTCCAATTACTATTCTTAAGTCCTGCGAGGCCAGCATTCCTGCTATATGCGATGAAACTACTTGGTTCTTCAGCATTTCTTTCAAGAGATCACTTGGAGAATAATATAACATTCTCAATAAGGCTCTGAGACATTTACATTTCACTGCAGGTCCTGCAGAGCTGCTGTATACTTCATACAAGACAGAGAACAGAGTTTTTATAAAACTTGTTACCCATTCATTTGTCTTGACTACGAGGGGTACAACAGAAGAATTATTGAGCGAGGAGGGTATATTTTCACCCTCAGTTTGCTGAGTGTTCACTTTTCGGAATATGCTTCTTGCTACTCCAATATCTTCGTTTATTTGTTTCATCACAGTAAGGTCTATTGTGTAAGTTCGTCCAAGTGTCGATAAACAAATTTCATCTTCTCCATTCTGAAATGCCATCTCAATGATTTTAGAATCAATTGTACTGAATGGGTGGAAACACTGCCTTTCGTCACGCCACTCCCAGGTGACGGTTTCTTGTTGATTACTTGATCTATCGAGTAGACTATCTACACTAAAAATTCCGTCGGTGGGTAAGGGTGGCATCAATTCTTCGATTAAACTGGTTATCTCAAACAATTCTTGTGGCGATCTCGGGACTAATTCAACATCTTCAACTTTCACATCCAAGGAACCAGTTAAAAGATAGCTCAGTGTAAATGCTATGTTTTGTTGAAGCAACAATGTCGCTAGATCAGAGCAGCGATTGGATATCACAGAAAGCATTCGTAGTACGGTAATGAAGTTTCCAATGCTATTGACCGGTGGAGTGATCATGAGTAATTGTTGCAAGTTTTGTAACAATTCGGCGTTGACAATTTTATATAGCATGACTTCGTCGTGTTGGAAGCTTTCGACCAGGCGACTGAACGCCTGGCAAACGCATTCCACACTCTTTTTGTCCTGATTAGTCAATCTACTAGTTAAAAGTGGTAGACTGTCGACGACAAGATGGAAATCATCAGGGTGCAAATTTTGGCAACAGTTTGCTGTTATAGTAAGAGCTGAGCGTTGGGCAGCTATATTGAAGAAATCTACGAACTTCAAACACGCTGAAACGCCACCCTAAAATAAAATAATACAATAATGAGTTACAAATAAAAAAATAAATAATTCATCATCGTGCGCGTGAAAAACACTTACCGCGTGCAAAATAGTTTTGCTATGACGACGCGACAACATCGACAAAGCAGTGAGACACTGTTCAGCCACATCCATGCACTCGATGGACTCGAGCTTTTGCAGAAAAACCGGTACTGCATCGACGACTACGGTCGATGAGCGTGGCAGAGCTTCCATCATGTAGGTCAATGCTCGACACGCATGTGTCATGATGACGAAATTGTGTTCGATGCTCAGCAGATTGATCAGAGCGGCTACGACCTGTTTCACGGGGAAACCAGCGAGTGTGTCTTCGTTACCCATGACCAGGATCTCGCCCATTCCGATGACGGCTTGCAATTGCTCGCCTTCGTCATCTACCGCTTGCAATCCAGCTAAAAGCTGTTGAGCTTTTGCGGCTGAAATTGACAGGTAAATACCTACAGTGCGACAAATCAGACAGAAAAAAAAATTGTGACTTATGATGCTGCGTTAGACAAGTGCGATATATTTACAGTATTGATTAATATAAAATAAGTAAGGCTTGCACGTTAGATTATGGATTAGACTTGAAAAATTTTAAAGTTTTAATTTAAGTCATATGCAAGAATGGGTAAGACGATCTAATGATAGATAATACAGGATAAAATATCTATTCGATTTTATGAGAAGCTAATACAAATTATTGTGGGCTTTGAGTTTAATTCAATAGAGTTCAAATTACGAAAATTCTCATCTACTACGAAAGTATCATTTCTATCAATTTTCATAGTGAATTATTTTTGAATAATAAAGAGATAAAAAAATAAATAAATAAGCAGTAATTTCGTTACTCGCATCTAATCAATTTCGAATCATTATCCATTAGTACAGCCTTTGATAATAATATTGTTAAAGAGACACAGATTACATGTATTAATGGTAAGTGTGCCTGTATGCTCGATAACGAATTTCGCTTACCCGAGTTGGCGCCCATGCTGCGATTCAGCAGATGCTGCATCCTGGGCCCGAGCGCGCCGAACACGTGGGGCGGCAACCCTCTAGCCTCCAGCAGGGCCTGCAGTCGGCCCACCTCGCCCTCGTCGCTCTCGCTATCGCCGGTAGTGGCTGCGGCGGCGGTGGCTGCAGCGGCCGCAACGGCAGCGGCGGCTGCACCCAGGCCGGACGGTCCACCGCCAGGCACGTACGGCGGTGGCGGGTGCGGCACGGGCGGCGGTAGCTCCTCGACGATCAGCATCCCCGAGGCCGGCATGACCAGGGGATGCGACGTCGGGGGGAAACCGACCGGCAATGGATAGAGCTGCTGCTGTGGCAGGGCGGCGATCGGCGCTGCCGCCGCGCCCGGTGCCATGTTCACGTTGTTGCTGCTGCTGCTGCTGCTGGTGCCGCTGGCGCTGTTGTTGCCGCTGCTGGCGCTGGTCAGGGCGCCGTTGTTGCTGTCCGGCGCCATGGAGCTGTTGCCTCCTGGTTGCAGCTGCTGTTGCTGTTGCTGCTGCTGCTGCTGTCCGTCGCTCGACATCGCGGCCGCGACGGTTGGCAACGTGTCGGCGCCTGAATCGATGACTGTTGTCCTGCGAATTCTCGACGTCGATCGGTGCCTGTGTTAAAATCACGCAAAAGATACGAACATTATTATTAATGCACCAACAACAAAAAACGGAGCCGATTTCGAGATAATCGTCGCAATGTTTTCGTAACGATCGCATGAGCGATCTCAAGAGCAACGTTGCCTCAGAAAAAAATTAATGTTAGTCCGCAAACAAGCTGATTAGAATATGTACACACACGTATTACCTGGACGTATTATTATTATAGATAAAAAAAAGCTCAGAGAACGAACTCTTTTCTCGATGTGTGTGCGTGTGTCTATAAGTCGCTGCTCACGCTCGTATTTTTATTTTGATACTGACTGACTGACGACTGTGTGTGCTGCCTCTACGCGTCAGCGCAAAACTTATACATACAGAGCGTCGCTCGCTGTTGATTTTTATACATTCGTGACCTTAAGGGCTAAAAATATTGTTCGAAATAATCATCGCAACGCACACACACTCGGTTAGAAAGAGAACACGAGCCATTTTCTCGACGCACAGCAACTTCGGCGCAGGAAAAGCACATGCGCTTATGCGATACACGAGAGAGACTCGTACTTTCTTGCCACATCAAACGCACAATGCAAAATGGAACAGAAAGAGAGAGAGAGAAAAAATCGGCTGACATCGCACTGTGCATACATAAACTTGTGACAAAGCGGAAAAAGACTGCTACCTCGCTACGCGGTGCTGCGCCGTTGTCTTGTGCGCTCGCGCGCACGCGTTTCATTACATAAACTTTTCGAGATTCTCTCGTGCGGGCATGCTGAGCACACGAGTGTGCGTCTCTGTATAGACAACTCACGAACGAGCGAGCACCACATGCTCAAAGTATGTGCGTGGATATACCTACAGGCGATATACATACGAAAGTTCGATCTGTCCGAGATGGCTTTCTCTCTTTCTCGAAGCCAAGGTGATCGAATTATTATGCATCATTTACATGAAATGAAAATTAAAATCCTATACAAATGATATTAAGGAAGAGAAATGATCGACAGATGAGCACGTGGTGTGTCTCGAAGATCGTATTACAATAGTTCGGAGACATTGAAGCATGTCTGTTGGAAATTGAAATTATAAACTGGAAAAATCGAGAAGCAGGGCCTACAGATTTTATCGAATTGCATCTGTAACAATGAAGAATTATCGACATTTTAGATAGAGTTGATGACTGTCGCTTACCTAGATACGCTAGAGTTGATCAAATTTTCAAATTGTTCAAGTTCATGAGCATATCCCATATCTGCCTGGATATGTGGATCTTGCCCCAACTCTTCTGGATATGGCTCCCACTCATCTGTCAATTGCTCCAATTGCTCCCATTGCTCCCATTGATCTGGCATTGGCTGCCACTCATCTGGCAATTGCTCCCACTCGGATAAATCGTCGTCTGAATCAATTGGATCTTCGTCCGATCCAGACGAATCATCATCGGGATCAGCTGCATTTTCATCATTGTTAGATGGATTTTCATCATTTTCAGCTGGATTATCATCCTCGCTTTCATAGGAATCAAACCATTCGTCGTCAGGAACGATTTGACCTTCGTCGTTGTTAATTGGATAATCATTAGCGGTTTTGTAAGAAGCACATGAATCATCATTGGAATCAGATGAATCTTTACCTGATGAAACTTCATGGTTAGGTGGAACATTACCATGAGCATTCTCATTAGAATCAGATCGATCTGTACCTGATGAATTTTCGTCCGAGGAGAAAGTATTCAGATAACGACGAAATTCCCGAGAACTGGAGGATGAATTTTCACTGTCGCTATCTTTCACCTCGTGATGGAAAATCTTCCGTTTTTTTTCCTTTGATTCACCCCATATATAGCTATCATTTTTGTCGATTTCCGAACCGGACGATATAACGGCCTTTGCAGAATTATCATCTTCGTCAACGACCATAGGAACTTCGTCTGAAGAATTGTCTTGCAAGGATCTTGCGCACTTATCACAATACAAACAGGGTTCTGAGTATGAATAATCGCAAAAAGCGCAATATTGTGGGGTCGAGTATTTGATGGAGGACTCCATTTTTTTTTTATAAATTATCGACAACACAAATTGAACCCTTCGAGCACTTCACTCGCACATGGTACGAAACGACCGGAAAACGGTTAGGATACGAGAGAAACAAGAGGAAAGCACGTGCACTGGTCACTGGTCAAACTGTAAGTGAAGAGTTGCATGTGCACGCCTGCACAGTCTTGGAATCGAAATTGAAAGTAACGAGAGAAAGTGGGGGAACTTCGTTTTCGATTAAAAGGAACATTTCGGTTTCCACATTTCCTTCTGGAAATTTTCCATCGCACTGCGCAACTCGGTACCTACGTTGTTGTATGAAACGAGATTCAAATTCGAAAATTCGTCGGGTAATTTGACTATAAAGATTTTAGTCAATTTTAAAAAAGTACTATAATTTCAGACTCGGTATTTTTAACTACAAAACTGGATGATTTTTCAAACGTATTCTGTGTGAAAATCTTTCGAATCAAGCTTGTTTGCGTGGACCAAATCGAAATAAAAATAATAATACAACAATAACAGTAACGATGTCAACAGTCGCGCGTGTTATATTATATATTAAAACTCACCGAGAACCGGAACTGCTGCCGGGATCTTTTCTGTAATATCTTGTGTGTTTTACAGAACTTGTCGCTGGGTTAGTATTAATATTGGGCGGCAAGCCACCAATGCCAGGAGCCGCTTGATGCGTCGACGACGGAGCCGCGAGCAACTGCTGCACCGATGGCGAAAAATCTTTGGCTTGGTCTACGAGTTTGACTCGCGAACGCAGTAGATGTTTGTGTTGATAGCCAATCGCGGTGCTGTTGTTGCTGGCACTGTTGTTGCTGCTCGTCGCTGCTTGATGAATCGTGTTTGCTGTGGCGGTTGCGACGGCGGCACTTCCTGCCGCCGTCTCGGCTGTAGCACCTCCAGTGCTGAGTGCTACAGCCGCCGCCTCAGGCTGACCGCTACCGACGGCGTTACCCACTCTGAGGCCGCTTCCACCAGCTCTTACTAGACCTCCTAGGAGACTGCTGTTATTGTTATTGCCGTTATTGTTGTTGCCGCTTAAATGCTGGTGATGCTGCTGCTGCTGCTGCTGCTGTTGTAATTGTTGTAAAGGTTGCTGCGGTAATGGCAGACTTACTGGTATTCCAACGTTACCACTGTTGCTGCTGCTACTTGCTGCTACCCCTTTACCACCTGTAAAAAGTTATTTTTTTTTAACAAACTCATTTTCTTTCATGCCTTAACTATGAACAATTAAATGGACTAATGAAGAAAATAAGAAATTAAATATAACTCAAGAAAATTTAGGTATGACTGAAGGTGTAAATTATGATTAATTATTTGACGCACAATAAACTACATAATTTTGCATTATTGATGGACCACATAGCTGTGACACATTAACGTCTTGTTAGATATTTTTAAACTCAAAATTCCATGTTTAAAATTATAAAAGTTTATTTTTGTAAAGAATTCAAACATAGTTTCAACAAATTTCGTCTGAAAAAGTTAATCAAGTTTGAAACAAATAAGAGCTAGTACAATGAAACCAAACTAGTAAAAGAGTGGATGAGCATGCAAGTTATTTGATGTGAATGACTGAAATTTGTTCTTTAAGTTTATCAGCAAAAAAGATTAGTAGAAATGTTTTGTAAATTTTTGAATGAGACTGCATTATGCAGGTAACTTAAAATTTTTGACTTTCAGACAAATTTTAAAATCTATAATAATTTTTTCAGGTTAGGTGTAATGTCTGTATAATTTCATGTATATTCAATTTTTTCTGCAGTAATTCATATCTTTGGTTCTGATATAACTGTAATTGCTACGTAAAAAACCCAAAGGGTGGAGATATAGATCAGAAAATGCATTGATTGCTATAAGCACAAGGCTTACCTTCTTGATGATAGGTTTGTGCCGATATAGGAAAAAGCGCTTTGACAGCTGACACAAATCCTTCCAGACATTCGCTCATCTTCGTCCCTAATATGATATACATTCCGATTTGACTTTTTGTTTCATTTAATTATCCTACCGCTAATATTTTATAGTCTACTCAATTACATATTTTAATTCTAAAAGCATTTGATCATTACAAATTAATGCTTGGTCAATTTGTGCCACTACTATAAGTTTTTTAAAAATTTAAATCTACTTAAAAATAATTTTTGTGAATTATTTGTAATAACTATAACTTTTCAATCATTTTAAGAAATTTGATTTTCAATTATTATACTTATGTGCTTGTGAAACTTTTTATGGTTCATATGGGTAAGGTATTGGGAATAGTATTTAGAGTACAAAATTTTGAATAAATTGAGGTCATCAATTGGATTATTGTCACAGCAAAGTTGTTAAACTTTTTTGATGCAATAATGAGATAGAGGTTAGTTACAAGTGATTTTGTGTAGTTAGTATGTTAATGAATTTATTATCAAACATGATTGTTAATTTTTCAAGTTCAAGCTTTTAACTGACTCTTATAAGCATAATTTATTATTATGAATGAGAAATCATGCTAGCTTGTTAGATGAAGGATAATGAAACATCAAAGATGGTTTATTACATAAAACCACTACCTTAGGTATTTTCATATAATTGGTATTGCATAACTATTAACTGAAGATGAATGAAAATCTTTTTTCATTTAATACTTTTAATTTTAAATTTCTGCGAAATTCATTTAGGTATCTTTGATTTGCAATAACAATTATAAGTCTTAGGTCTCAATAATATTTGTATATTCTATGAATATCATACCTCTATTTCCTTTAGATGTTGATGGATGGCTTGTAACTGGTGTGCCAGAAGCTGAGTGACTGTTAGTATAAGTTGATTTTCTATTAATGCTTCCGTAACCACTGGATAAAGTGGAATCGTGACTGCTAAACCCGTGATTTAGAGTTTGTGAGTTTTGAGGAGTTCGCGAACGAGTGCGAGAAGCCACACAATCTAATGGTGCTGAATTTGATTCAGGAATACTATGTCTTGAGGGACGTGCTCTAGTATTATTTCCACTATTGTAATTATGCGTTCTTTGCTGCTGCCTCCAATTTGTATCTGTAAAAAAAATTTTAATAATGATAATTTATTTAAAGAACTCTATATCATAGATTCACAGAGGTTTCTAATATTTTCCAACTTACCATTTACATATTCTACACCATTATTTCTTCTATCATTTTTTGACCGACTGTCTCCTTTTGAATATTCTGCAGAGCGTTGATGCTTGTGAGTTGATGCAGGCTGTACTTGTGTTTCACTAAAAGCTGGTCTCCGTCGTTTTTCTTCTGTAGGATTGTGCACAGAATTGTGAGGTCGTTTTCTATGCCCACCGGCTCCGCCACTGCTTGAGCTTTTCCCCTTGGCTTTAGAGGTATCTGCTGAAGCACTGGCCTTCTCTACAGACCCCCCGGACGACGACTGATCTTGTTGATCTGCCATAGATTAATCGACTCATGCCACTATTCTATCTGTAATTAAAAAAAAAAAAGGATATTATAATTTTATTCAGTCAAATAATGCATAAACATTTGTTATCCAACAGTTTCAATCTATAATAATAAAGGCATTGCTGTTGAACATTTCAGATGAAATTTTAGTTTCTCACACCTCACTTTATTTCAACACAAGCAGATGTGAGAAAAATCAAACTTTTCATTGTTAACGTTTGAATTGAACATCAACGAAATTGGCACAAATAAACCGTCTGCTTACGCACTTCTGTCGAGAGACATTGACAAAGGTTAACGGACAATTTGTATAAAATCGCAAAAGATTCTCTCAAACACCCCGAAATTTTCAACTTTCATGCTTCCTCGAGTCTGTGCACACCGGAGAGAAAAATAGGCGGCTAATTTTGAAGCATACCTCGAGAAATTAGTCACCCGGCCGAGAGAGAATCGGGGATGACGACGTATTTAATTTTCTTTTTTCGGTAGGCGAAGCAAAAAAAAAAATGAAAAAGCAACTTCAATGAGCGATGGCTTCTATGGATGCGAGTTTCTCGCTATGTAATTTATGTTGTTTTTTTTCGGCTCGTACGTTGCACGTATCTCTATACATCTATGATGATAGTTGTCGCACACACGTCGTAACAAGCGCAAACGATTTTTTATGACACACACAACACACGACACACTGCATACAGAGAGACGCTGCTGATCATTCGCAACACACCACACCGGAGAGTATTGTGTATATACGAGCTGCTCTATGTGCCCCGATCGATTTCGAGAATTCGCAAGCGCACAAACTAACACACACGGTCTTTGGCGCAGCAGCAGCAGCAGCACCAACCAGGGCGCACCAAAAATCAACGGTATCTTTATTTGTAATTTTTTGAATTTTTTTTTTCTTTTCTGCGTCGCTCGTTCGAAACTGCGATTCGAATTATATTGGCTGTTGGCTCACGTAACTTACTACACACGCGCGAGATTAGCTTGGCTCGAATGGCGCGCGCACACACACACGAGTTAAATAACGACAATAAATCCGCAGAGAGAGAGAGAGAGAACCGTGTTATTATTATTGTACGTATAGGTGTGAATATTTTTATTTTCTTTCTTTTTTTTTTGGTAATAACCTCTCGTCGTTGTGTCGTGAAATAATGTAACATATATATGTATAAACTCCCAACGCCTCTGTATCGCTCTCCGCAACTGTACGGCCTGACTAGTGTGCAACGTCGTGCTCGTCGGGGCAGAAGACTCGTTCGCAAATGACTCGAAAAAGCAGGCCAGAAAGCAAGCAGTCGTCGTCGCACACACCGTCTAACACATATATATCGCGTTATACGCTGTGTGTGTGTGTGTAGATGTGTAAATGTGTATACTACCGCGAAAGGCGAGTCGATGACGCCAGCGAAGCAGCGACGACTCTCGGGTGCGCATTAGGATATTATATTATGTATGTATACACGAGTGTGTGAGTATGAGTTCCCGCCACCAAACTTTTTTTCTTTTTTTTTTTTTTTACTTACTTCCAGGCGTGAGAGAAGAGTCTATCTCTCTGTTTAATAACGATGTGTACCCGGGTAAAATACGTACAGTATCGAAATCGAGATATCGGAGCACAGAGAGAGAGAGGCACAACACAAGACGAGACACGACGAGAGATGAAGAACGAGAGAGGACCGATCGTAGCGAGAACTCGGACGATTGTGACGATGATGTAAACTCGGTTAAATTTTGAGAGAGAGAGAGAGAGATGACGAGTATTATTATGATATGTACGGTACTGTTTGTTTTTGGCATACACACAGCAAGAGCCACGTGAATATCATAGCACATTGAATCCGCGGAGCCTCTATCGCGCGCGCGCGCCATATCGGAGAGAGGGAGAGAGAGGCTCGTTGATTTCACCTGGATTTTTAAATTATGATAATATACGTACGTAAGTACGTATAACGCGTGTCGCGTCCACGTGTTATGGATTTTGAGATCGATTTGACATTTGCAGCGGGGGCCGTTAATTGCGTGCATATTTTTGAAAAAGCTCAGATCGTCCAAAAATCGGGAAATTTTCATTGACTCGGACGGACGTGTCCGATATATTAACACAAGTTGGATGTTACTTCGGTGGGCAGTGGCCTCTCTGCCGTGTGCTGCACGCGCGATACCTATATATACATCACGCCACTTGTTCAAACTGGTTTTTATATATACCTACAGTCTCCGGCCTCTCTTTCTCGGGCATCGCGGCAGCAGCACCCCCTTGTTGCAACCAGTGCGACGATCTTTTTGTTCTCGCCAGGTTCCTTACGAGTATACGATATCCCGCACCTATATCGAGTCTTTGATTCGTATTAGAATCAAATGAAATAATTTTGGAGCCTTATCCGAAGCCACGTCGTCCTTCGTACAGGCTCGAGTGACTTACATTATTTATAGAACGTATACACGAGCCCCCCGAGAAACTTGCCTCGTATACTTTGTTGAAGTAAAAACTTCCTTTTATCATTTCCGATCTCATCGATGTGCGTTTGAACACATGCTTCCTTTTAAAACGTGAAAACGAATATCTCCCGAAGTACGAGTGAAGAGCGTATCAGAAAAAGTAAGAGTTCTTTCGTTGCTGCTGTGTGTCATTCCGAACGATTATACAGGCGTCATTTTCTCCAGCGACGTTTCTCGATCGTTGCAACACGTGTTCTCCTTGTTCTCGAAAAGTCCGCTGCTCCGTAGATACCTCGTTTCTTTCTAACTTAATTATTAATCGACGTCGTTTATCGCATCCACCTGATAACAAGTGCTTTTCCTCAACTCCGTTTCTCTATACGATGTAACGATGTATAAAAATCTTAAACGACGTTAATTTCCAATAATCGAATTTTAATACACGACTTCCGGCGATCCAAGCCATAAATTCCGTGATCGATTTGATTTTTCTCGTCGTTGGCAATAAAAGAAAATCGTCATACCTATATCATTGTCGCCTATCGAAGACTCACCGAGATATGCTTATATTGAAAATTCTTACGTCACGAGTCGCGATTTGTCGAGTGCCTCCTCTCGTGTCAGCACAATGGGGGCCGCGTCGCGCACACACACACCTTTTCACGACGGTGCATTGTAGCTGCTCGAGCTTATTGCAACCGCTTAATAAGTTTAATATTTTAGAATATATACCGACGCTCGCGAATTTGGCCCTGATGTGCATGAAAATCGATGACTCGGGTGCGTTTTTAATCGCAACATCCGACGAAGGTCGTTGACCTTCGACGAGAGTTCATTCGTTTCTTTTACGCAATCGTAATGCTTCCTTTTTTCTGTTACAGTTCGTTGCTGAATTTCTCTTTACACGAGTATAACAAAGCTTGAAATGAGATGCAAAAAATAAACAAATGCGCCTACGTCAAGATGCGAGAAAAAAATGACACATGTTCGTACAGGCACGCACACGTATAAACATGAGAATCTTATCACTCGCGAGGCTCGCGTCATATACGCTAATGACAATCCATTATTATCTGGCTGTAAGGCCATGACAGGAGGTTCTCTCTCGCTTTAACTACGATGTGCGTTACTCAAAGTCAAAAAATCAAAATACAAGAAGCTCGTGCGTGGTCATGGACCGAACGCGTTTTAGTCTCTTAAAAACTGGACCCGAAAAATTCGTCCTCGTACGGAAGGAAAGAGAGGGAAAAAAAAACATACGGACGGACTCGTTCAACGAATCTTCGTCCTCTCGTTCGGAGCGAAGACTCCGCAATAGGTATATGCCTTGTGCCTTATGCCTATACTATACAGCAACAACAAAGCACCTCGCACCGCCCAAGGCCTCGAGGTTTTTTTTTCTATACATAATAACAACAACAACAACAACAATGGTAATAATAATAATAATAATAACTATACGCAGCCAGCATAAGCGTAAATATATACTAAGGGGAGAGCGTTGGACTTTTACGCAGCTGAGCGTCATAATGTTAATACCGCTGTAGATGTATGGCGTGCGTAATATATGTAAAGGACCAATGGGTAAAAGGCAACGAGGCTCGAGTGTGACGTATATAGCTGTGCACCCTCGCGTCGACGGATCTCTCCGTAGCCGTAGATACGAGGCGAGAAGCCCGTTTATATACACCGTCGTCGTCGTGTGGGCTGCACACAAGAGAGCCAAGTGTGTATAAGAGAGAGAACCGAGCGAGCTGCGAGGAGAGCAACAAACTCCGACTTACTTGCACATACAGACACAGACATACGCGCAATGTATAACCTATACTACCAAGAGAAGAGCAGTATGAATGCGTGTATACGAAGGAGCTTTAAATGTGTGCGCGAGTGCAAGAGGGGAATCGCTGCGCACATTTTGTAAAATAATATATTATTATTATATTCGAGTTATCGCGAGAGTTTAAAACCTGTCAAAGTGTGTGTGTAATGTACAGATGGTTCTCGCATGGAGCAATTTATTACCATGCATTCGAAATTCGTAATTTTCAAATCGATAGCAGCAGCCCCTCACCTCGTACTTGGACCCTTATCTATCTCTCACCATTGTGTTCGATATGTACCTCTATATAGCATAAAACTAATTATTTCACGTATACAGCTTCGAAACACACTTCGCAGCAGCTGTTTACGCGGCCGTTCATATAATTCCTCATAAGTATATACCAAGTCCTAGACACAAAAGTCCCGACAATGGATCGTCAATTCGCGTACAATAACTCGCGTCCGAACTTTGCTTCCCATCCGCATGATACGCATGACGAGCGCTCCGAGTTCGTCTTGGTCGCGCAGCAGCAGCAGCACCACAAGGTTCGCCGTAACTCGTTGCGTTATGTAGAGTTGTACAGTACGAGGCATCATCTTCCATTAACAACGGATCGACAATTATATGCGCGCGCGTATGTGTGTGTGTATTGCGTTATTATGGTACGTAAGAAAGAAAAAAAAAAAGTTAGATTCTCTCTCTCGCTCTGTCGAGGTAGCAACAATAACAACACCAGCGCACAGAGTTGAAGCAGAAGCAAAGAGCCAAGCACACGCTCAAACACACACACACACACTCATACACTCATACAGACACAGAGGCAAGGCAACGGAGAGGCCAGCCATTTGCTCTCGTATACTGCTGTGCTGCTGCTGAGTAATGGAGGTCGAGTCTCTCTTTCTCTCTTATACTCGTGCGCTGCCTCGGATATACGTATATAGCTGCTACATTACACGAAGCTTCAATAATATAATCTCATATCCGCGTTTGTTATAAACACGTACAGTTCGCGTCTTTATATTTTTAAAACAAACAACACGAAACAAGCCCTTCGGAGCTTTTTCATGCCCCCCCTGCGCGATACATTCGCACGGTAGCAGCTTTTTTTTGTGTGTGTTGTATAGACTGCACGAGTGCTCAGAAAGCGAGAGAGAGAGAGAGAGAGAGAGAGAGAAAGCAAAACTCTCCGCGCGCGCAACAACAACATTGGAAATACAGTACGATTCCAATCGGCAATATGATAAATCGATCGGATATAACGCGCAGAGGCCCCCGATATATATATACACACGATGACAAAGTGTGTGCGCGCGCGTATATGTACGCTGAATTGCGCGACGAAAGCCAATAGTTCAAACAATCGCTCGTTTACACAGTTTTTAATTTTTTCTCTCTTTTTTTTGCTGTTACTCCTTTCTGTCGTTGCTGCCTCTCCGCGCGCACTTAGATATACATACGTACGTACATGTGCAAAAGGTCGTATGCATTCGAATGTGCCTCTGCGCAATCGTGTGTGTGTGTGTATATGTGCGTACATGGACTCGCGCAAGTGCATACATATATATACATCGACATCGAGAAAGACAGAGAGAGAAACACGAAGGCGCATACACATACGTACATACAGAAACACACACACACAGGTTGGAGCGTAGCGACGCGCAGCGAACCGAGGGCAAGTCCAGCTTTGCCATCGATAGCGCACACCAACTTCTCGCTGCTGCTGCTTCTGTCTCTTTTGTGCTCGTGTCCGCGCTGTGTTTTTGCACTCCGTGTGTGTGTGTGTGTCTGCGCAAAAGAGCTGCTGCTGCTGCTGCGTGATGTGTGTGCACAGCCACAC